CGATGATGGTGGTGGCGGTGGTGGCCTCGGTCTTGATGATGGGCTGGATGCGGTGCTCGCGCTCGTGGATGATGGGCTGCACGTGGTGCTCGCGCCGCACCTCGACCGGCCGCTCGTTGACCACCAGCGTCTCCACCTTGGGCGCGTGGATGATGCCCTCCGGCCCCACCCGCTCGACGGCCTCGAGGCCGGCGGGCAGCGCGGCGCGCTCGACCATGGGCGCGAGTATGACGTTGCGGTCCTGCACGATGACGGGCTGCTCGGTGGTGGCCTCTGTTTTGATGATGGGCTGGATGCGGTGCTCGGTCTCGTGCACGATGGGCTGGATGTGGTGCTCGCGCTTGATCTCGAGCGTGCGCTCGTTGACGATCTCCTTCTCGATCAACGGCTCGTGGCGGATGACCTGCTCGGGCTCGTGCACCACTCGGTCGGCCAGCGACAGGCCCTGCATCGGCACGACGGGCACGGCGGCGGTGTGGACGACGGGCACGACGGGCACGGCGGCAGTGTGGACGACGGGCGCGCCCTCGCGGGCCAGGGCCTCGGCTGTGGTGGTGGTGCCGAGGCCGGTGCCGGTGGTGACGGGCACGGCAGTGGCGGCGTGCTTGTCGGTGGAGTGTCGCCGGCCGAAGAGGTGCTTCTCCTTGTGCTTGGCCGCCTTCTCCTCGTGCTTGGCCGCCTTTCTCTCGTGATGCGACATTTTCTACTGCGTGCAGAACACAACGGCACATTCCAAACACATTCTTGTAAGTGCGTGTGCGTGTGTCATGGGCGTGTGCGGTTAATGCGTGTCGTGTGCGCTCAACAACGACGACAATCCACAGGGACCAAGTTGGAGGTGGGCGAGAGAGCCGAACCTGGGTGATGTGGCGCGTGTGGTTGGTGTTGGGAGTGGGGATGAGGTTGAGGGTTCTGGGTTTGAGTATGAGAATGGAAGGGAAAGGGTGGGTGGCCTTTACGCACGTGGGCCAGAGGGTCGGGCGCCCATCGCCGCAGATTCGGCCCGGTTGGGGGTGAAATGCGGTGGAAAGCGCGATCCCACCTCGCACCGGCCTGAGGTGGTGGTCGTGGGTGGTGTACAGGAGTGGCGTGTGCCGTCACCTTGTCCGGACAATAAAAAGGTTTTGGCCTCGGGGTCGGTTCAACGAATGAACAACTTGAGATGGGAGTAAAGGCTCCGACGCTGCCTGGCAAAAGGGCAAAAAAGTGTAGAAAACCAGTTCGATTCCAACCAGCCAATCGAAGACGTGCCATGTGAATTTCCGGAATCTGTCGACACAAAGAACATTGCCTTTCTGAGCCTCGTTTCGAGCGAACGACAGTCGACAAATAGTGAACCACCTGGTGGGCGGAGGGAGGGATTGGCTGGTTGCATACAAACAAGTTTTCTGCAGGCCACTCAACTCCTGCTCCGAAGTGGCGCCTTGGCCGACCAACGCAAACAGGCCTTAAATGTCGGGGGATACTCCCGGCCTGACTCACTCCGGTTGGCTCTCGGTGACCAGATCTCGACCCAACACCAACCAAGCCACTGGTTCAAAAGGCACGCCCTCCCCCTCCATTCTCATACTCAAACTCAGAACACAAAACCAACCACCTCCACCACAATAAGTTCAACAACACTTCGGACCACCACCACCATGTCGTCCCACCACCACGAAAAGAAGGCCCTCAAGCACCAGGACAAGGCCCGCAAGCACCAACACAAGGACAAGCACCACTCACATTCCAAGCATTCCCATCACGACAAGCACCACCTGGGCACCGTCCTCGGCGCCACCACCCTGGCCCGCGAGGGCGCGCCCGTCGTCCACACCGCCGCCGTGCCCGTCGTGCCCGTCGTCCACACCGCCGCCGTGCCCGTCGTGCCGATGCAGGGCCTGTCGCTGGCCGACCGCGTGGTGCACGAGCCCGAGCAGGTCATCCGCCACGCGCCGTTGATCGAGAAGGAGATCGTCAACGAGCGCACGCTCGAGGTCAAGCGCGAGCACCACATCCAGCCCATCGTGCACGAGACCGAGCACCGCATCCAGCCCATCATCAAAACAGAGGCCACCACCGAGCAGCCCGTCATCGTGCAGGACCGCAACGTCATGCTCGCGCCCGTGGTCGAGCGCGCCGCGCTGCCAGCCGGCCTCGAGGCTGTCGAGCGCGTGGCGCCGGAGGGAATCATCCACGCGCCCAAGGTGGAGACGCTGGTGGTCAACGAGCGGCCGGTCGAGGTGCGGCGCGAGCACCACGTGCAGCCCATCATCCACGAGCGCGAGCACCGCATCCAGCCCATCATCAAGACCCA